CTTCTGGATTTTGCTGCACTCTTCAGATATCTTTGTTTACTTGCACTTTTTTGGGGACCAGCTTTTTCCGAAGGAGCATTTGGTTAGTAGTGGCACTCAGTAGGTGACTACCGTTCTACTGTTTCACATTTCATTCTTTATTGTATTTTTATTTTTGTAGGTATTGTTTTTTTTTCTTAAACGAAAGTTCTGAAATGCTTCATTTTCTCTTCTCTGTCTTCTCCACTTTCTGACAACTTATACAGAATTCACCAGAATTTGTTTGTCCTGGAAAACGGATACCTGGCTTTGGTTAAGAATCTTTCTTACAGACATGATCATCTACCAGGTAAAAATAAAATAAACTGAAAAAAAAAATCAGTAAAATGGTGCCATTTCATTGCTCTTTCTTGCAGTGAAAGTTATCTTGATTAGCCAGTTTGTCTGCTGTAGGTGTCTACTGATTCTACCCTTTAAAGTGTGACCCTTTGGGGGATGGAGTTATACCTTTTTATCACAAGCTAGATATCCTACTTGTAATACTCCTCTTATAATAGTTTTCTTGTTGATGATGAGTACATCTAGTTTTGGCATATGGAAAAGACCACTGTGTTGGCATTTTAAATGGTCAGTCATAGGGTTAGAAGCACAATTTATTATCAGTCAATGCATCTACTGGAGAGTAGTCACAAGAATTCTCAAGCAGCGAGGGTTAAGATGACTCAGTTAAACTAAAAAAATTATCATTAAAATCAGAAATGAGGCTGACTACTCATTCCACCTACCATCCACAGAGCAGAGGTTGTTCTCTTCTATGTTTCCTTTTGGGGTACCTTAAGAAAAGCTATTTCAAACCAAAATGAAATAATGATTAACTTTGAAGACCAGGATTATTTGTTTCAGTTATAAGTGCAATTTTATAAACGTTCATTTTCAAACAGAATTCTTTTATTTTTTTTTCTTCTTGCTGCCTTGCAAGGGATTGATCCACATTCCTGTACATGCCACATCACTGCAGTGTTTTCTGTTAGGTTTTTATTTGGACAGTCTCTATTTTGAAAGATTTCTATAAGAGAATTTTCATTTTTATCTTTGGGCATTGCATACATTGTATAGGAAGAACTTAATGCAGTCTTTTTATGCCTTCTTTTTTAAAGGGACAGTACAAGAAAGCCATTAGCAGTCTACATCACTTGGCAGCTCTTCAGGGCTCTCATCCGCCACAGCAAATTACAGGACAAGGCTCACTGGAAAATCAGAGAGCGCTAATCCAGTTAGCGACGTGTCACTTCGCCCTTGGAGAATATAGGGTATGTACAACATTCCAAAAAAGAGTCCTTCATTGGCCGTGGTTCCTGATGGTGCCTTCCCTGGAATTTTCTTATTAGCCTTCTTCCCACAGGCTATTGAGCAGATCCAAATCGGACTCTGCAGAAAACTCTCAGTTTTCACAGGGGAAAGATCCTGCCACACCTCGCTCACTTCTCATTAGCATCTCTTGTATACTGTGTACTTGCTAGTTGTGATTTGGGGGGTTTAGTTGTGATCTTCCATAGCTAGTGGTCTTTAAGTTGTCTGTATGTGTAATCTTGATTTGAATCTCTTGGCTTTGCTGTTTCCATTTTAAAAATCAAGGGGAAAAAATGTGTGTAGGTCTCATGTGGGAGAGGCAAGAAAGATTTATAGAAAACAAAACACATTTCTGCTATCATCTTAAAAAATATATATATCAGCTGATGGTATATGAGACTCCAAAATAATATTGTCTGGGCTGACCTCTGAACTTGCTCTACCTTTGCAATAAATACTTTGTTTTTACTGTTACAGAATCTTATGGTGGTCTGAAGTCATACAGAGCTAATAATAAAGGCTGGATCTCATGCCACACTCCTAATATTGAACTTGTCTTCTTTCCTTCCTCTCCAGCTTGCTGCTTCATTAGAAATCTGATTATATATCCCCTCAGACCTCCTATAGTCTCTGGGATCCAGCACTGAAAAGTAGAGCAATTCCATGATGCCATTCCCATTTTCCTTTTTCATCTTTAACATGAGCTTTTTGAAAAAAATATAAGAACTATTTCATAAATATATATATTCCTGCTTCAGTTCTATTGATCTTACATCATTAAAATGAAGAATGCAAATACATATATTTTTCACAACTAAAATGTCTTGTATGGACTTCCACAGACAGTTTAATGAAATCCATATCACAGCTATTTCTTTTTGCCCAGTGAAACTATGTTAGACATCAGTAATTCCACTTAAGTTTTAGCAGAGGATTTTGTGACTGTATTTTTGTTTTGCAATCTCTGAAAGCTTTAATCATCCTTAATATTTTTAAGAACGGTAAATGTAGTCTAAGAATTATTGTCCCTTTGTGTTCTTTTATAGCAAACATGCGAAAAAGTGCTTGACCTCATGTGCTATATTTTACTTCCAATACAAGAAGGAGGTAAAGTCCAAGAGGAGCAACCTAAAGTGAAGTCTAAATTCAGGAAAGGTATGGAGTTGCTGCTATCCTAAATCCAGTGGCAGCTTTGTTTTCTTTCAGGCATTTATACCAGGTGTTTAATTCCTCTCCTTTGGTACTGTGAAAAGGAAAGGTATCTTTGTAGGGGTCTCTTGTATTTTGTCTCTTGTATTTTGTGAAATGTTTTCCTGCTGGTACTCATTAAAGTATATTGGTGATAAAGTTCTGCCACAGAAAAGGAGAAGAAAAACTTTTTAAAATAAAAAGTAAATTTTACGCTTTGAATCACTTGCAACTTACCTTCAAAGTTTTCCTTTGGACCTGATACTGGTTGCAGATTTGTTATCTCTCCATTCTAATTTCTTGAAAACTTAGAAAATTGTGAGACTCCTAAAGAACTGTGTCTTACATCTTCTGTGTTGCAGGGTCTGATTTGAAGCTCTGGCCATGTACGAGTAGAGCTATCATGCCCTATTGCCTTCATCTGTTACTAGCTTGTTTCAAGGTAAGCTGTGGTCAAGACTGCATATTCTCTCATGCCTCTTTTTAGTTTTGGGCAGAGCGGATAGGATTCATTTCAAAATATGTTTATCTCTATGCAGACTTCCTGTATAGCCAGTGGAAAGAATTTGGTAGTTCGGATGGAAATTTCCAAACTATTATAAGTGTTAGGGCCAAAGGAAATACAGTCTTGAAGAGCTTGTTTTATATTTGCCCAGCGGTAGGTGAGATTAATCCTGTATATTGGCGAAAGCAGCGTGCTTGTCCTGATGTTCTCAATGTCCGTGTTTTCCATGAAGCTCCGAGCTTTCACGGACAGCAGAGATGATATGGCATTGGGCCACGTTGTGGTTTTGCTTCAGCATGAATGGCCGAGAGGTGAGAACCTGTTCCTGAAAGCCATCAACAAAATCTGCCAGCAAGGAAACTTCCAGTATGAGAATTTCTTCAACTATGTTACAAGTATCCTTTCTCCAAAGACTGTCTTTCACATCCAAATGTTTGTGCTGGAGTGCTGAGAAAGATGGTTTCAGCAGCAGCTATAAATTCTCTCTTCTTTATAAATTAAATTTTGTTTATTGACATTCTAGGCCTCTCCTTATTGGTGGCCATGCCCTGGGCTATAAGTATGCCCACTGCCTCTCATTCTGCCCCCCCTTAACTACTCTGCCATTGCACTTCTATTCAGCGAAATGGCAGTTGCTCTGGCTGTTAATGGAAGTGATGCTAGTCTTAGTTTTAATTTAAAGTTTTAAAACTTTAAAGTTTTAATTGAGTCGTTGCACTACAAGAATGTAGACTTAACTGTGAATGACAAAATGGTAAAGAAGCAGGGCCTCCTGCTTCAGGGAGTTGAAGCAGGTTGAGGCAAGGCATCTGACTGCCATCTGAGACAACTAAGTTAAAAATAAAAATGACCAGGTGAATTAATTGGGAGAGGGCTGGTCTTAATGACTTGAACTCGCTTTACCTCTGTTTGATTTGCACACATAGAAAGGAGCTGACTGAGGTGTATCTCATAAATACCGCTTGAAAAGCTTTTTCCTCTTGAAATTGAGGAGAGTTAAGAATACATGCTGTGATCTTCTTTACCACTTTTAAGATATTTCAATAGCTGTAACTTTGTTTCAGCAATGTGGCTTCAGATATGAAGGATAAGGAGGAAAGTTTATCAGCTTTTCACTATTGAAATCTTTAACGTTTTCTTCAGATATTGATATGCTGGAGGAATTTGCTTATTTAAGAACACAGGAAGGAGGGAAAATTCATCTGGAATTGTTGCCAAATCAAGCAATGTTGATCAAGTAAGATTTTAATATTTTATTTCAAAAAAAAAAAGTATGTTGTTTTTATACTCATGTAGTTCTCTTGATAAAAGACTTGTCATGTCTTTAAGGAGTTTATATTTAATGGAGTTCATTTAAGGAGCTTGAACAAGGCCATGAGTTTCTTCTCTGCATTTCCCATTGAATTGTAGACTCTTTTATGGGGTTCTTCAAAATTGAACTCCTCTAATTTTACAGAGCTTTGTTTTTAAATTTTTCATTTGTTTTGCAGTGATTCACATTACAGTGATTACAGTATTGCTCTTTCTACCAGAAATTTGCACTCTGTAGGAATTCTTTAAATAATGAGACTTGAGTTCAGGGTGTTTTTAATAGTTTTTCTGAATAATAATGCTGAATGGAAAATGCTGTTTGTTGTAAACCAAGTTATGAAAGAGCACCAAATGAGGAAAAAAATTACATATAAAGCACAAATTACACCCCAAGAAGCCCTAATCACCTCGTTGCCTGGAACCAGCAGATCATCTCTTGCTATGTACTGAACAAGCTTATTCATTATTAGATGCTGGAGGAAAGTAATAATTTGGATTAAATTCCTAGGTGTTCTTAGCTTGGAGTCAAGACTGAACAAGTAACGGCTGAAGGGTTTTGGAGGCAGCATATTTTGGAATATTATGGTTGTTTGTTAGAACCATTGGTGTTTTCTAAGATGGGGACTGTAAAAATTTGTCAAACTGACCCAGTTAAGGTCAGTGCATTCTGACGATTTCTTTTTCTCACTAGGAGTAGGCTAAACTTTTCCAAAAGGGGAGCCTAAGAATAGGTAGCTGGATCCAAATTTGGACTCCTAAATAGATTTTCCGAAGTTAAATAATAAACTTTGTCAGCCTGAAAAGTATGTAATAATGTCAAGACCAGTGCTTTCTTTTGCAAGATTCCCTCCTGCTTTACAGAACGTAAGAAAAGGCATCAGCCAGTTAGAGAACTTAGAAGATCAGGGCTGGCAATGTCTCAGGATAGCTGTAATGTTTTAGTGCTATTTCACGAAGTCACAGCTTTTATTTTGATTTTTATTTTGATTTCTATGGCAGCTGTTGCTTAGTGTTTTGACTCCGCCAGCTGGGCAATAGGTGGTGAGCAACCTTGCAAGAGAGAAACCTCTCTTGGACCTCCTTTCAGTCAGTGTTAGGTCTCCTGAATAATGGCAGTGTTTGGGGAGGAGAGATACGTGTTTTTTCTGGTGCTTATTAAGCCCACAGGGCTGCTTACAGTGCCCTTATGTGATAGAAACCACTTCATCAGAGAGCTGACGGGAGTGGGATTCAGGGTGTAGTTCACTACTAGATTACTATCTGGCACCCCAGATATTTATTCAGCTGGGCCCAGCATGGGGATCGGACATGACCCAACTGTGTTAGCCTCAACAGCCCTAGTTAGCTCATTCCTCTCCCAGCTGGGCTTTTGGAAAAAGTGCAGACAAGAAGCAGGACAAGGAGCAATGGGCACAGCTGAAGTACAAAGAAGTTCTGCCTGAATTTGAGGAAAAACTTCTTGACTGTGAGGGTGCCAGAGCACTGGAACAGGCTGCCCAGAGAGGTTGTGGAGTCTCCTTCTCTGGAGATCTTCAAATCCTGCTTGGACGCAGCCCTGTGCCACGTGCTCTAGGTGACCCTGCGTGTGCAGGGGGGTTGGACTAGATGATCTCTAGAGGTCCCTTCCAACCTTAAGCATTCTATGATTCTATGAAACTCCAGTGTGTATTTCAAAAGCTGAAGTAAGATCTGGATGGCCTGCAGACTAATCCTGAGGTCCTCTAAAATGTATATATGTCTTGTATGGTTTCCTTTATGGGCCTTTCAAAGGCCCATAAGGTGGCCTTTCCACCATGGGTGTCCAGGGGTTTTGTTTTATTTATTGTTTATGCTGGGTAAACTTGATGTGAAAAACAAATGAGTTTTCTCTCTGCCCATGCTTCTGCCTCACCCCTGTGGACAGGTGAGGAAAATCTCCGTTGATTTGAACTAAAAAAAAAAAAATCTTAAAAGGGTTGTTTCTGTTCTGACTGTGCATTGGGGTGTTTTTAGCTGTGACCATAGTTGTGCAGAATCCATTTGGTAAACCTGCAACACCCTAGCGCCACTGACATCTTGCTGAAACTTCTTGAAATTTTCTGTCCCCCTTCATCCTCTTTGGAAATACTGAGCTCATTCATGCCAAGAACTCTTGAAAGATTATCTCATTTAAATGATTTCTTTCTTTCTGGTAAATATTTTATTTCAGGCCAGTTGTATCTGGTTGTGTTCCAGTACTGCCATATGGTTCCTTCTTGAATGTGATACATATATTTGACTATAGATCTCCATCAGCATTAATGAATTAAAGATACTAACCGAAACACCCATGAATTAGACCTGATGTTAGCACTGTATCTTAGTGAGTCTTCCTTCTTGACTCCTTGTTAGCGTTTGTGCGAGCAAACGACGCACAGAGTCCCCTCAGAAGTCAAACCCTCCACTCCCCACCCTGGAAAGATTTAGGTTAGAGACTAATTAGGAAACTGGATCCGCTCTCTATGCAACAAAAGTCTCCATTGTGGGGGATTTGCTCTAGGCCAGGAGTGTGACATTTACATGCACTGCCACGGATAAAACGCAGAGATGGGGACGGAACTTCATGCAGAGAGGCCAAGCTGCCTTTCGGCTGAGATGGCTTCTGATGCTGGAGCAGCCTTGGTCACAGATGAATATTCCTTGAATATTCCTCTCGCCAGAAGGAAGCTGCTCAGAGCAGTGTTCAACAGCTTGTTTGCGTGTGGTTTCAGTGTGGGGAACACCTCAGGAGAATATACTTAGGCAACCTGAGACAAATAGTGTCACGTGCCCCACTTTGCTGCTCAGAGACTGCTGACAGGTACCAAGTGGAAAAACCCCACTCATAGTGTGCTGTGTTTTGTCAACATGTTTTACTGCCCATGATTTTCAGCTCTTCATTATTCAAACTTCTTCTTTTTTTCTTTTTTTTTTCCATTTGTGCCTACATTGCCTGGCAAACCATGTTGTACTATTATAACATTTTTTTTTTATCCATAAGTCCCCAGTATCCGTGTTCTCTCAATTTAATAATCGCTGTTGAATTGAAACAAAAATGTAGAAATCACAATCAAATGATTGCCATGTCCAATCACATATGAGCAAAAGGTCTCAGGTGTGAGGGAATAACCCTTTTCTTTCTAGGCAACGAATTTCTGCAGCTATTTGTAGCTATTTTCATTCACAGAAGTTGTTCTGCATTGCATTTTCTGTTGTCTTAACTGTTACCTGCCAGGCAACTTGGAAAGCGCTGCTGGTTTGCTCAGTAGCTGCAGGGCTTCCCCTAAGCTCTGGCCCCTCAAATGCTGCATGAGCTGATGCAAGCAAAGCTGGGGGGTATTTTGGGGAGGGGCAGTTTCTGCACTTCACCCTTTTTGGTTCTTGCATCTCTGCGTTGGCAAAGGTTCCTGTGCTCTATTTTTATTTGCTCACTTTCGCTGTGCTTGCTGGGTCCAGTCCGGCTCTTCCCTTGGTAGCCTTGGCTCAGGACTTGACTTTAGCTTTTTTACTTTTCCCTTTATTCCATTCGAGGAATATTCATTGGATATGCTAGGATATTCATTTCAGAGCATGCCCTTTTGCCTGGGATACCTAAATAGGCTTTGCAGGCAGACGATACAAAGTCTTGGTCTTCCTATATGCGATTCTGGAGCAGTGTGAGTAAAGCTTCGTGTTTTGGCATTGCCAAACATTGTTCTAAGGGTGACACAGAAGGTCTGGAGTGCTGCAGACCAGCATTTGGGGACAAAGGACTTTTTTAAAGAATGGCCTTGACCAGGGCATCATCTGCGGCACTTCCCATGGTTTAAGAAGGAGACATTCCTGTTAGCTAGAGCGCCAATACTTTCTTTTCCGCTACAACAGCTGCTATAATCAGAGACTTGAGAGCATAGATGCTTCTGGAATTTCTAAGTGTTGTAAGGTTTTAAAAAATAGCGTAGCATGCACTTTGGTTCTCCTAACCTAAATTCAGGTATGGACAGTAGATACATGGTAAATGGCATGTAGTACCTTTCAAAATACAGTAAGGCACCAATCAAACCTCATTTCATCTTGTCTCTCCTTTTCCTTCATGACTTAAGGCATCATACGGTTACCCGGGGCATAACGAAAGGAGTGAAAGAAGATTTCCGCCTGGCCATGGAGCGCCAGGTCGCCCGCTGTGGGGAAAACCTCATGGTGGTTTTGCACCGCTTCTGCATTAACGAGAAAATACTGCTGCTTCAGACCCTGGCTTGAAGGGGCTGGACCTCGAGGCACTGTCACTTCGGGAGGGACAAGGGGGAAGGCTCTCGCACCTACAGCAGCACCACTGCAGACAGCCACTTGTCACCAGTTCCCCACTGCAAGTTCTGCAGTACACAAACCCTCCTCGGTGTTTGTTCGCTGCTCATTTTTCTAATAGGAGTAGATTGAACTTTATAAATAAAACTTTCCTTAAGAAATCATCAGTATTGGCCCCCTTTTTTTATTTTTACCCATGGCATTTTACTAAAGTAGCTACACAGGTGTTTCTGAATATTTTCTTGTTTTTAATCTTTATACACCAAGAACATAGTAGAGTCTTTCAGGCTTTTTATTACTTTTCTGTGATTAATTTCTTGAGTTTCTGGGAACTATCATCTTTTTACCTTTTTCTTTTTTTTTTTTCCCTCTCATGTTGAACTTAACCTGTTACCTCTCTTAGGAAAAATTCAGCCAGTTAATTTCCTCCAACTACCTTCATATTGCTGGGTTCTAGATTCAGGGTACTTCTTTATAAAGATTTATAGAGACTGCTTTGAACCTTGGTGATCTCAAAGCAATTCTGTAAACATCCTCAGGAACTGGCTTTTCTGCACTCTTAGAAACTAAGACCTCATCTGTGCTGGAGCTGCGCAACACAAAGGCCCACAACATTCACACAGCGGCTGCTACACCCACCAGGGTAGCAGTTACGTGGCAATTAATAACCCATTAGGGAGAAACCTCCTGCAAGAGGTTTCAGTGGGACCCTAAAGCCAGAGCTTCAATCCAAGACCTAGTGCCAGCACAACAAGGAACTACCGGCGGGACCGTTTCTCTTGGAAGAACTCGGCGTGGGCAACCTGTGAGCTTTTCCAGACAGTCACTGCACCTGCGTGGGCAAGCGCAGGGCCAGGATGCAGCCAGCGCTCCCAAGTCAGAAAGACGGCAATGTGAAACGTGTGCCAGGAGACACAGTGGCACTGGGAAGCTGCGAACTCCACAGCACGTGAGTTGGAGCCTCATCAGACGTAACAACTGCTACCAAAGTCCCCTCTGGCTCATCACGTGCCATCACCACCCCAAATCCCTTGTAGTTTCCTTTGTGAGCGCTGTCAGGCACTATTAACTGCCCAACTGTTGCATTATGTTCAGTTTATCGATACAAAAGAGAGATGAGTAAAATATGTACAAAATGCAGGTAACATTGAACAACTGCAGCAGGTTAGCAACTTTTTGCTAAAACAGGAAATTACAGTCCCTTAGGTCCCCTGAAACTTGTGAAGGCAGCTTCCATGGGACTGTGAATTTGACATAGGATCCCTTTTTAGTAATATAGCCTAGCAGAAGTGCCAAAATTCAGGCTAATCCATTTTACATGCTTTCCCCATCAGAATCTTTGCCCACTCCATCAGATTTTCCAGAATATCCTTTTCCTGTAGAGTACATAGGATATTAGGACCCAAAGAGTTGTCGCAGTAAGGTTTTGAATCAGGTGCTCTGCGTGCGATTGACTGTCTTGCATCTTCCACTTAAAAGGGAAATAGTTTTCAAATACTTCATGTCCAATGTAGACCAGGATTGAGTTCATTCCTGAGGGTAAGCACAGGTGATGCCATGAGAAAGAGCAGGTCTAAGCTTGCTTCGCGGTAAGCAGGTTCAGGAAATGCAGTGGCAATGACACAACCACAGCTAATCACTGCAGCTCATCACTTCGCCACCACCCTGCTTCTATCCTGGCTTCAGATACTACTAAGGTTTGATGATTAATCTTCCTTGGCCCAAAGATGCTATGCATGCTACTTCTATATATAGTCTGAGGGTTTATTTCCCCCTCCAAACATTTATAAAAAAAAAAAAATACGGATAACCAAGATGCTAAATTCAAAATACAACCAAAGCCGTACTTCTACAATTTTATTGACAAGACCTATCCCAGTTAAATAATTTGGCTTGTTCTAAATCCTACCTCGTAAAGTCAAGGGAAGTACAGAAAACATATCTTCAAAACAACTGACTCTCGACCTATTTGGCCAGATCTACTGCAGTTACAAACAAAGGCGCATTGCCCTTCAAAGCTCTATGATTTCTGGTAGGAAATAAAGATCCCATTGTCATCATCAGAGCCATCTTCCCATTCCTTTCAGGGCAACTTGTTCTAAATCCTACCTCTTAAAGTCAAGGGAAGTACAGAAAACATAATAGGATAGTATCAGTCTGGAAAGAATGGGAAGTAGTAGGTTTTCTGTTTAGATTTTACTGACCTGGGTAGAAAAATGGAGCACCCGACCACAGTCTCTTAACATCCACCAGGTAATAAATCAGCAGTAGGAGGATGAAGGCAAAGCAGCTCATGGTTGTCACATATGATATTGACCTGTGCAGATTTTTAGTAGAAATTTAACAGGTTATTTAGAGCAGTGTGACATACATATATATACATATAAGAAAAAAAGGGCATAAAATAGTACTTAATAGAAACCATACTAAAAACTGTATGTTTTTACTTACCATAAATTCTTATTTATGGGAATAAAGCCTTCATCTTTAGAACATTTTGTCAAGGCAGCAGAAATAATTCCCTGAAATAATATGTTGTTAAAGTTTATGTAACCACAGGCCCATGTTTTGGAAATAGAAAGTTTGTGTTGCTTTAAAAGAAATTGTGCCCGTTAAAGAGTTGTCTAATCAAACCACACAAAGCAAAGTAAGCATCTGACTTACCATTACTATGCTCCATATTAAGAATCGACTCATAATTTGCTTGTGCTGGTCTTTGTACAGCAAGATAATTTTTCCTGCCTGATAAAAAAATATCATAAACATCAATTGGTGCCCCAAAATGTGACTTCACTTACATAGCATGGCTACTTGTTGTTAGGGTAAGAATACCAATAGGGTTGGTAAGAATTAACTAAGTGTCTGGAAGATGCAAAATGGGAAAAAAAAATGAAAAAAAATGAAAATGCAGCTCACTTAGCAAGAGAAGAACACCTAGTCTCCCTTTGCTCGTACACTCATAGGGGGCCCAACAACTTTGTTATTTTTCACATGAAGCCACTGAAGCTCCATCTCCTGTCTCTTGGTAGGGACTGCATAAAGGCCCCTTCAAATCTCCTCACTGCAACACACAGCCAAGAGGAAGAAGAGAGGTACCTGCAGTCCCAGAAATGCCATCACAGCAGAGTTTATTGTTCCCAGGATGCCTTCAGGGTCATACGGCATCTTTGTTTGGTAAAGCACCTTAGAGAGAAAACAGTTACTACAGTACCTGCAAGGAAGGCTCCTTTTTCCTCCATCCCCACATGCCCGTCCCTGCTGAGATCCATGTGCAGTGCCAGCCTGCAGCTCCGTACTGCAACCCAAAGGCCACTTACACTTGACGAGGGATGTTGATATATGTGTTTTTCTCCAAGAAGCAACCGGTCGATGTAACCAGCTGCCCCTCCGGTGCAGTTAGGATACTTCCCAAAATCGCCAATGCCCCCAGGACCGAGGTAGCCCCTAGGACATAAACAAATGGGTTATGGTAGTAAACACTGCAGTGCCCCACCTGAAGAGTAGGTGGCCCACTGGCCCGGAGACGCTAGATGTACGTCCTGGCCTCTGGCCCTACATGACAGCTGGCCAGTGAACTCCCTATTCCAATAATGCTGGATAATGAGGGGACAGGCAACACCAGGAGGGACACTCTGGTCTGGTCCCTGCTCTGAAGGTACTCACCCACATGGGAGCCAAGACAGAAGCTGGTAAGCTGGTATGATATGCAGATAAACACATATTGGAAACACAGAGCTCAGGGAGATTTTTAAACCTCCTCTTAAGCTGTCTAACCCTGGCTATTTCGTAAGGAAAGGGTTTTCCTGTGCTAAATGCTTCCCTCGACCCTGCTGGAGCCCTCCCCTAGCACTAAGAGTTACAGATCCTGAAATGTGTTTTCTGCTCAGTAGGAAAAACAAACTGATGCCCCATAGAAAGCACTGTGAGCACAACGTCTTACCTGGGGCAATCTGGCACGGGTAACAGAAAGGTCAGGCAGAGCCAAATTACTTCCAATGTCAAAATGAAAATCCACTGTGGCCAGTAAGGGAGAACATCCTGCAGCACCGGAGGTGGCATCTCCTGCATGAGGCAGAGGGAGGAGGAAAGTATTAGCTGGCAAGTAAAGACCATGCCCTGGGGGACATCCTGTATTTCCTGACAGGTTCCCCCGATTCAGGAGGGGGCTGTTGGCATCGCGCCGTTGGCTTCTGCACCGGACCTTTCATCTTAGAAATCATCTCCAAACACTCAGTTACTTAGGGGGAAAACAGACAAAAGCCCTTCGTGTTTTCTGATCTGTTTTCTGATCGACATGAAAATGTCAAGAGGAATTTTGATTCATGCGTAGAACAAAAGCCTTTTGGGAAAACAGACTCCAGGAAGGCCAAAAAGCAATATTACTTTCCCCGCTGTGAAAAGCCATCGCCAAATTTAACCGGATATAACAGAGGCCACAGGACTTGGCACAGCCTTGTCCCTGGACTTAGCCCATCCCTGGGTTCCCTTGGCAGGGACACAAAATTACCCTGGCCCGTTAGCAGACTCGAGGTCACACCGCACGACATGGCAGGGTAGATGCCCTGTGTTTTCTCTCTGCTTCTCATGCGTTCTCGGCTCCCAAGAGCAGCAGCAGCACGCGGATCAGTTGCCATCTCCCCACGCGACTCACCGGCACATTCTCAGCTGCAATTCCTGTAAACGGGAGCTGGAGAGCAGCTACCACGAGGTACGTGAATCCCAGCCTCTGCAGCACCCCAGGAATGCGCAGATTATCCCAGGACACTGGAAAATACACACTGGGTAAGAAAGAGGAGCAAATATGGGCACCTCAATAAATATGAAAGCTCCACTTCTTCAGTGGGAGCTGAGACCTAACGCCCCTGCTCCCACCCCTGCTCTGCCACCCCACTTTCCATAAATCATCACCTTGGGATAGAGCAGCTGACACAGTGGTCAGACAAAAAGACAGTCTCGTATGGACGGGATGTCTTTTATAGGTACTGCTTCGGTTCAACAATTATTAAAACCTACGAGAGATGCAGACTGGCCTTGTGTTAGCTCATAGCTGCCTCTGACAGTCAAACCTGCCTCATCTGTGGGAAATTCAGCAGCGCAGAACTGAGCAGCTCAGCACTACAAGCACCCGACAGGATACCCTCAGCCTGTGCCCCTGCAAATGATCTGTACGGCAACGCTGACACTACCTGCTCTGGTGAACCCAGCCCAGCTGGCAGGAGCAACCACCAGAGAAACCCCAAAAAGAGAGCAAGTGGAGAAGGAGAGCACTCACATGGTCCAAGGCAGTAATTGGGATTGACAACTACGATTCCCAGCAGGATTAGCAGAAAACTTCTCCAGAGGATCTTCACGAGCACCTTCTTCTTGGAACTTCCCCATCTCAACATGGAGCTCAGAGACAGCGATACTGACGTCCCCATGATGAACACAAACCTAGGGAAGAAGGCAGTTGGGAAGTGGAGCTGGCTGCTATCCCATCTCACATCTCATCGCACACATGCAGGATGACAAACCAAAATGCTGTGTAACAGAGCATCCTAAATTGGCTCAACAGAAATCTAGGTGCCCTGGGAGAAATGAGACAACTTGCTTCCTCTGATTGCTAGCAATTCCCAGACAAACAGGTATCATGGAGCACGTTTAACGCAAACTCCCTCCTCCAAATCTCTTCCCCGTGGCTGTGAGGTGCATGCAGTGTTCCACTTGTAACCCTTAGTACAACCATCACTCAGCCCAAGAACTGTCCTTCAGGAAGACCTACCATGGGAAAACCAGATCTGCCACTGTTAATCCTACAAAGAAAAACAAAAGAACAAGTTAATTGCCTCAGAACTCCCCTTAACATTAACAACATTGTTGCTGAGTTTCCAGAGGAATTGCAGGCTGCTTGCGGATATCTGATAGCCCCAAATCTAAAACATAAGCCAAACTTAAAAGCAGCTAATAATTTTGCTTCACTGCTTTTCCAACTGTCAGAACTGGAAGTCTCAGCAAGGTCTTCCTGCACTGGGATCCTTGCTGTCCAAGGCTGTTACGTTTGCATGACATCAAGCAACATGGTTTGGCTGTGGCACTACACCCTGCTACAGTGACCATGCAACACAGGAAAGTTACAGATATGAAAATAGGTCACAAACAAGAAGGATATCCCTAATTTGTGATCTGAAACCCTCCTGTGACTGCGTGACAAGAAGGACTATCTAGATGTTGCTACTGATTAACTGACTCGGCTCTACTTTACCGTTCCAACTCTCGTGCTTGAAGAACCAGTATTTTCCTCCTCCATAGTTAACAAACACCATAATTATAAGAGAGAGCCTAGAAAGACAACAACAAACACATACAGAAAGCACTGCATATCAATGAAACACATATGTATGAGTGCAGAGTTCATGGCTACCCCACTAAAACATTTCTAACTGCACACCTGGTTTATTTTTAAAGCAAAATGATGTATGAGGCTTCCAGCTTTGCTATCCTGGAAGGCAGCACTTCAAAGGCCACAGGTAGTGGTGAACCAAAGTGAGCTCCTTCACACAGCACGTTCACATTGAGTGGAGGTTGTTCCTTCCCACCCTCCACTGCAACTCAACTTCAATGTTTCCTCCGATGAGCTCAACTCCAAAGTGTTGCAGAAAATCCAGGAATTAAAAACCCTGATTATCTTCCTATAAAAACACACCCTCTCGAACTGCCAATGCTCTGCATCCACCCGCACACTGTCAAACCGCCTGTGCAAAAGCCAGTTCCCTGCGGCAATGCAGCCCGGGGAGAAAGTCTGCGCTCACCCTCGGAAGGTGTCCAGGGAGCGCAGCCGCTGCCGCGGGGCGCTGCTCCACAGGCGCTGCGAGGAGAGGTCGCTGCTGAGGGAGTCCGCTCTGCTCGGCGACCCCAGCTCCTTAGGGAACGAAGCAGACACGTCAAGGGGACGTCAGAAGCTGCCTCAACTGCCCAGGAAGCACAAGTCAACAAACTGAGGCCTGCAGGCTTTCGAGTACTCTGTTTGCATCTGCTCTCCCCACCTTTCTCGGCCTTTTGCTTCCTCACTTGCTATTTCTCACCCCTTTATGGATCTACCATGCTGCAATTAACTCCCATGATGGAGAAATGAGGATGTTTCACACTCCACCTTTGGCAGGAGGGATCTTGTGTCTGTGAGCCAATTCTCCTATAAACCTATGCTCAAGAGAGCTGGGTTCAGTCAAAATCAGCTGAGCAGATCCAGACTGTCAGAAAAAGGGTAAGTCCCATCAAAAAGCAGCACAACAAAAGAGGAAACTCCTTTCAAAAACAGGAGTGGCTTATTCCTCATCTAGTTCCCTAAATCGCTCTGATCAGCCCCAGTGACAGCATGAGAAGCAGACACTGCTGTAAAATAGCTTCAAACATCACTGGGGAGCTCTATTCCCAGCTCTTCTGAATCCAGTCAAGTTCTGACCTCCTGAATGTGAAGCCCGGGTGGTGACAACCTTGCTCTATTCCAGTACAAAACATGGCACATAGAAACGCCAGCTCTAAGGCTGCAAGGGAAATCTTGACTCAGGTGTAGATCCCAGTAAAATTCCTATCGTGCTTCAAGCAGACACAAAAGCAACCTGACCTCCCTTCCCTTACACTGTTTGCATCAGAAGTGGGCAATATTTTCAGTGAGGTGTTTCCCTCGATGGAAGTAAGCAGGACAGAAAGCTGGATGTTCAGGGCATGCAAGAGCTCTGCTGGGAATCCATTAAACTTGCATGGAAACCCAGTCTAGCATTCTCCCCTGACAAAATAATGCCTGTCTGGATTCAGTAAACATTTGCCAAAGGGAGCGAGACAGCAATTAATGAGCCCCCAAACGCCAGGGTAGCGTCACTCAGTCTGAGGTAGAAATGTTACAGATGGCAAATTAAAGTTACTGGGGTCACTCACGGAATTAATCAGTCGTTCTGTTTCTCTAGGGTTCAGTTTCTTGCAAACCCAACTCCTGACTGGATCGATTCTGAAAATTAGTGACAGTTTTTTTTTAAAAAACAAACAAACTTATAGCCGATTTCATATTCATGTCAGCTATTCAGCAGTGTAAATCAAAGCCTGAGACAGACCCTATTTGTGTTTTCTGAAGTCACATACGTGACACAGTACATGCAACCTCTGTTCAGTCCAGTTCTGTCACTGCCCTACAGTACAAGCTCAAGTTTAGCAGTGTTACTCTCAGCTTCTTTCTAGGCAAGGACAACTCACCTTGTTCAGCATGCAGGATGGAAGACTCAATAAATGCCCTATGCACTGGCTTACGTGGCTGTAAAATACCCCTCAACACAGATTGCTTTTATTTTACTACCACACTATGACAAGTGCTTCTAGAGCAGCCGCCCCATTTCCCGCATGCCCACTGCAGGTGTCACAGCACTGATCACTTACTTCATGAGAAGGTGTCCAGCAATGATGACAGCAAGGATCCCCGTGTAAACCAGGAAAGCAAACAGAATAGCTACGTGACAGAGAAGAAGACAACTCTGTATCTGATTTAACAAAGTCATTCAGGGGCCTGGGGCTGGCCGCGTGGGATATGAACACAGCGACCAACTCAACCCACTGCTCATCACCCCACCTCTCCGCACAACATGTCTCCACAGCCTGAGTCCCAGAGACAAGAAAGGAAAACAGGAGGAGAAGCAAGGCAGAAGAGAAAGGGCCCTGTGTACGTACATAGGCATGCAGAGCAATGAGACCTTTTAGCTACTAAAAGGTCTTCTTGCAGGCACATATCCACTGATTTTTTTCCGCTAATCCCTGCTCTAAGGAAGCTGTGCTGTACAGCATCTCGTGGGAGAGTCCTGAACCTGGCCAGAGCCTCAGGGCAGAGGTGTGAACCGTGAGGAGGCAACAAGTTGAGAGAGAAGGGAAGCAGGCCGCAAACATGGTCAACACAGCCCAGCTGGCTGCAAGAGCTTTTGCAAAGTCAGTTTTGAAGTGGGACAGGCAAATTGTGGACTGAAAGAGGAAAGCAGAGCTTTACATACGGAGGTAGCTGTTGATAGGGTCTTCATTGATGCTTAGATCACAAGAAACCGTTTGGGTGCTTCTACTTAGGATCTTGACCTCGAGGGAATAGTTGCCAGATTCTCCAAAATGATAGTGAATCCTGCAAAGGATAAAGGAAAGGAAAATGTGCAGGTACCACAGGAGCAGCTGGGGACTCCTGTGGCTGACTGCTTGTAGGAAAGGCAACTGGAGCCCTGCAGCAAGGAGCTCCCGGCCCCCCTTTGCTCCCACGAGCTCCCACGAGCCCAGCACACTGCTGCCTGTCCACTTCCACCGCAAATATAATGAAACCCACAACTGCAGCAGCGTGGGGAAGGCTGCCCCCTGCCCCAGAGGGCAATGAGCATATTTGTAAATAAAAAAACCAAAAAGCCGCAGTGGGCAGCTATCCTCATGTCACCCAGGGTTGAGGCACGTACTTGCAGAGCACTCTGTTCTCGGGAAAGCCGTCGAGCTGCAGGGTGAGCGGGTGCTGGGTGTCCACAGCCACCGCGGCCGTGCTCTGTCTCCTGGAGCTCCCGTTGGACGCGGGGATGAAGGCCAGCAACTGAGAGGAGCACTAGGGAAGAAGGGGGCCGAGCGAGGGCCCAGAGGCAGGGCAGCAGCCGATGAACAGGCAAAGAGGGGGCCGGCTTTGCCAGGG